AAGCTGGATCATAGTAAACAAAAAGATGTAAGATTACAATCACACTTTTCTGTGGGTCTTTTCAGTCTCTCACAATCACATTTCAATCTCCTCACTCACCACTGCTCCTGTATTATTCTGGAGGGCAAAAGGTAAAGAACATAATTTTACTTGCTTTCCTGGTATTTATATTTAGGGGGGTTGTTTCCAAATAAAAGGAGATTCAAACAAAAGGAAGTGCTTTAGCCATCAAAAAATTTTGCCAGCAAGGTTCCAGATTTGACCCTTCATCGTAACACTGCCACTATCTGAAGCCCTAAAGTGGGGAGAGGGGGAAAAAAGATTAAAGAGAATCTTCAGTTTGGATGAGGTCTTGAGGTAGTGGCCAGGCACTGAGACAAAATCCCAGATGCATTGTATCAGTTAGTTCTCTGAAGTCCAAAGGTGCGCAGCTCCAGTCTTACATAAATTGTAAACTCAAACAACTGAAGGCTCAGGTCCTGCAGAACACTGAGATACTGGCAGGACTGAGCAGCTTGAAGGGTCTTAACAGTGAGACAGAACAAGGATGCTCTTGTCTAAGGCATTCTCCCGTCTTCTTAGTATGCAGCACTCTGGACCTCTACTGAACACAGGATCATCTTCACCACAGTCCTATTAAATAGCTGTGCATGAAGATCAACGCCAGAGTTAAGAATCAGTGGAATTCTCCAAAGACAGTGTTTTCTCAGATCAGAAAGATTTTGGTAGTTGACTTGAAAGTGGAGCTGGTAACATGATTTTCATTCAGTGAGGGCATAAATCAGGCAGCTCAGGCAAAAAAAGTGCTGCTGCTTCTTTTTTAGGAGCAGTAGCAGGTAATTGAGAAATCAAGTAAAACGGCAAATATTCTAACAGTGGGTGTTCACCAGACCAGTCAGACTGAATGCAGGCCAGTAAGTTTACTATTCAACTTATTTTACACACTCATTCACTATGTGGAAAAACCTTTACCTGCATAGAGTTCACCCTGGGAGCCTGGCAGCTCTCTTCAACAGCAGATCTGCACAGGTAAGGAATTGCACCTACTCTGCTGGCTAAAGAGTTCACACAGAAATGATGAATCCTAGAATCATTAAGGTTGGAAAAGACCTCCAAGATCATTGAACCCAATTGTACCTGTCCACTACTAAACCATGTCTTGAAGTACCATGTCTACACATTTCTTGAACACCTCCAGGGATGGTGACTGAACCACTTCCCTGGATAGCCCATTCCAGTGCCTGATAAACCTTTCAGTAAAGAAATTTTTCCTAATATCCAATCTAAACCTCCCCTGGTGCAACTTGAGGCCGTTTCTTCTTGTCCTATCACTTCTTAGTTGGGAGGAGAGACCAACACCCTTCAGAACAGTCCAAAGTCTGCCCTCCAGAAGTCCAAGGTGGCAGTTCTGCTGAGCCCCTCCCTTACTTCTCCAGGAAGCGAGAATTCTATCATTTCATTGTCGCTGTGCCCCAGGTGTACTCCAACCATCACATCATGCACAAGGCCTTCTCTGTTCGCAAACAACAGGTCCAGTGGGGCGCCTTCCCTAGTTGGTTCACTCAGCAATTGTGTCAGGAAGTTATCTTCCACACACTCCAGGAACCTCCTAGACTGTTGGCTTTCTGCTATATTGTACTTCCAGCAGATACCTGGTAAGTTGAAGTTCCCCACAAGAATAATAGCTAGCAATCATGAGACTTCTCCCAGTTGCTTGTAGAATATTTTACCTGTCTTTTCTTCCTGAATGGGCGGTCTATAATAGACTCCTACTGTGATATCTGCCTTGTAGGCCTTTCCCTGATTTTACCCATAAACACTCAACCCTGTCATCACCATCATTGAGCTCAAGGAAATCAAAACACTCTCTAACATACAGGACTATCCCACTGCCTCTCCTGCCTTTCCTATCCCACCTGAAGAGTTTATAGCCATCCATGGAAGCACTCCAGTTACACGAGTTTCTGTGATGGCAACTATCACATAGTTTTCCTGCTGCATGATGGCTTCTAATTCATCCTGGTTGTTGCCCATGCTGTGAGCATTGGTGTAGATGCTTAGTTGGGCTAATGATCCTGCCACTCTTCTGAGAGGAGAAGTCTTAATTCCTAAGTGACTAATCACAGTTGTTACTAATCCATCAATAACCTTTGCATCTTTGCTGCCGCTTGGGTTACTATCTGCCACTTCTGAGGTTACAGACCAAAAGACCTTGCTAGCACACTGTCACTCACACATTGGCGTGCCATCCCTGGACTTATTTCCAGCAAGCCTGGTCTCATCCCTCTCCCCCTTCAAATCTAGTTTAAAGGTCTTTCAATGAGTCCTGATGATGTTAACTGTATACAAGGCCAAGGATATAAACTAAGGCAAAAAGAGAATGAGGAATAAATGAGACCTGACAAAGTGAAACTGGCAGAAACCTGAGCCTAAGAAGCTGGTAATGATCCTCTGATAACATCTCAATACAAACCCACCATTTTTAAGTGTACACTGTTTAAACAACATCCAGCTTTGTAATTCATACTAGTTGTTAAACTTAGTCTACGTAATTCGTTCTCACACAGCTTTACAGTTCATTATATTACTCTGCTATGCTGGTTTCTTTCTAATGAATAAAACAAATGTGAACTGAGGGAATAAACAGCAAGAAACCACTTCCACAAAAAGGTTGGAAAGTGGTTTTGAATACCATGCTTAGCATTTTCATTCTTGAATGTTTCTTGGTTTGCATACTATACTTGATACATGAAATCAATTAGATGCCGGGATAGATGGCCTTGTAGGAAGTATGCTGGCTTCCGCTGAAATCTCTGGAAAAAACCCAAAATATTTGCCCAGAAATAGGAAATGTGGCCTGGCAAAAACTGTATGTATTTTACATTTTTGATGTGCAAGTCACTGTGGCTAGTCACTAAAGGCCTTTAGTTATACCTACCAAAAAAAAAAAAAAAGCAGGGCGGGTGGGTAGCCCTTCCTTTAAGTCCCACAAAAACTAAGTTAATGCTCTTAATGCTATTCACGTAGTACATACTTTGGGTAAAGCCATTACACTTACACAAAACAATTACTGCAGTCAACAAAAAGGAAAACTGTTCTTCCACAACAATGTTAAAGCACATTTTATTATAGCATTACTTTTTAAAGGGAGCCTGAGACACTCAGAACTCAGCTTTAACAAAGCAACATGGTGTATATGGTTCCATCATCAACTATGTCAACACTACACGTATGAAAACATAATTAGTTATACTGGTGCAGAAGTTAACTGAAAATTAGATGCTGAATAAAATCCTGCACCTAAGCAGCTGCAGATGGAAAAGCTCAAAGAGATTAGAACCCTTTCCTGTGGTTATCTACTGAGATACTGGCAAAGAGAGAAAGCACCAGAACAAAACCCTCTGACCATCCTCTATGATTATGCCTTTTAAGGTTTCTGCACTGAGAACTGGAGTCTAAATCCTAAATAAGGGACAGACTGTATTACTTAACCCAAATGCTTAACCAGTTTACCAAACCACAAGAGAATTCTCTGTTAAAGTTTCAGGATACCTGGGTGGCGGATCTGGTCTCCCAGAACATTACACTGGCATGAAATTGAAGAAACAAAGCAACCTGAGGGGGGGTGTGTGGCTATAAGGAATTAGGACAGGAAAAATTGGTACCTGTTCACAAAGTGATTCTTTCCTTCCTTCCTGAGTACCTGCAGTTGTCTCAGCCTTCCACTTCTCAAGAGTGGTACAGTACATCTGTGCTGAAATCAGGTTTTTATAGCAGGATGTGACATTTGTCATAGGCCTAGTTCCTGCTTCTTTGCAGGAAACAAAGTCTAAATATAATCCAGCCTGGGAAAACACTGCTTAAATACTGAGGCCAGATTTCAAAGAATCTATGTGACCTGAAGAAGAGCCAAACTCCATTGCAAAAGCAAACACATTAATTATGCTGAATATGTTGTTTCTTATTAGCCATTGTCTGAAGCTTTTTAACTATATTGAATATTCATGTCTATGGATTGCTATCCATTTACTACATTGTTCTTGAACTGCTGACATGATTTCAAATGTATAACGTGCCTGTGGCAGGATTTTGTTGGATTGGCCTCACTGCAGTAAACACTGCACTGCACTAAAAGTGAGGAAGAGGATGAGCTCAAAATAGCTGTTTGGCAGAGAACAGGTAATCAAGTATTTCTGCAGGCTATCATTAGTCCCCTAATTCAGATAGGCTGCATGGTCCACTGTTTGTCTATAGTGTGATTCACAGCACGTCTGTGCCTGCATTACCATGTCTGGGTTGTCACTGTGGAAACAAAGAGCCTTGGCTCCTAACTCAGGGATATCGTAGGGTCACAGGACAATTTGGGTTGGAAGGGACCCCAGGATATCTGTAGTCCAACCTCCTGCAGGGTCACTATAAGATCGGACCCAGTTGCTCAGGGCTGTATCCAAAAGGAATGTGAAAACCTGCAAGGATGGAGACAGCACAACCTCTCTTGGGCAGCCTGTTCCAATGCTTACTCGTACTCTTCATCAGTAAGTAACAAATGCATTAGAGTAAAACAGAAGCCTCCCCACTACAAGTGATTTCACTCCCTACCAGGTACACTATGTGAATGAGACCCAACAGGGAAGGCCAGTAAGAAGACATCAAAAATGAGATTATTTACATACTTTTCAGCCAATCAGAACTATGTATGAAAACAGCTGTTCTTTTCAAATCTCAAGTAAAAACGTGTGAAAGGATATCTTTGAAACAAACTGCGAAGCTGATCTAAAATTACAATCCCTACTCTGAAGGGCTGACTTGCTGTAGTAGAAGTTCACGGTACAATTTCCCAGGAACAATTAACTGATACTGGAAAAGAGGAATTAAATTCGTCAGAAGAAAAAGAAAAATCTGCAATAATCCAATGTACTCTTAAAAAAAGCCAACTAGGAAAAAAGTCCGTGATCCACAAGCAGAACATGAAATACAGGGACAAGCCAATTTAATCTTACCTCAGCCTCACACAGTGCCTGAAGACCCTGTAACACTATGGCAGCAGGTGAAGCTTGATCAGGTTTTGTGCATTCATTTAATACCTGGGAAATTGCAGCCAACATGTCTGCTCCATGCTGGTATGGCCTAAACAAAAAAAACATGAAGATACAAGGCAATATTCATGCATACACACAAGTCCTATTCTATACAGAAAAACTCATTAATTATTTGTTTTGTTGAAGTGACAACTAAACCAGACTAAAACTGGGAGGGGGAAAAAAAAAAGAAACAAGGGAGGATATGATAGAGCGCGCTAAAGGCTGAGTGGCATGGAGAATTAGATCAGCAGGCATCAAAATCCAAATAAAAGATCACCAAGTGATTAAGCTATGGAAGTTTATGCCCAAGGATGTTTTGTATGCTAAAAGATTACATCATTCAAGAAGTGACTGAGAAGGAAAAGCCACGTGTGCTATTGTAGACACTATTCTTTGCTTCTTTGTTATAGTCTTCTACGAGCACTCACTACTATGTATTGGTGGAGATTCTGGCAGCAAAAATTTTGGCCCTCTTACATCAGACAAGGAACATTTTTCCAATGTTGTTGGTGCTTCAGTGTCATTTGTGTCTCCTTCAATGACTGCATGGGATGCTTGTTTGCTTTCCAGTCTTTTAGTATTCATTCAGTTTAATTGGGTGGGGGTGTGTGTGCATGTTTCAACTGATGATTCAGCAGTTCCTCAAACTGCTTCTCTAAGAATTTGGGGGGAAACTGCATCTATATGGAACATTCAGGCTTCCACTATTTGCTTTCACTTCCTTCCAAATAATTTTGAAATGCACGACGAACGTGCATACACCTGAACTCTAACTACACCACTTACCTGGCAATAAGAATATTGCAGCTGCACTGAGATTTCTCTCTTGCTTTTAACTTTTTTATTTCTTGGAAAATGCTGTTTGGCAAAATAAAAGGCTGAAGAGGTAAAAGAATTTTTTTTTATTTGATGACTGAAAGATACATGAATGTTCCCAGCTGTTAGTAACTGACCTTCAAGAAGGAAAGTGAAAAGCGGAACCCCAAAGACAGGTGACAAAGAGGAAAGATGGTATTGTGCACATAAAACCAGAAAGTAATTGATAATGTGCTTAAAAATTATCTTTACAGGAACTGTAAGTTACTATCAAGTACTGATATTCATGGATTGTTAGAGCTGGAAAGGATCATTATATCATCCAGTCTAATTGGATGAACACAGAACTGTGTTTTGTGGTCACTATTATACCTAAATAAAGACCAGTAATTTGCATGTGACAAAATATACTTTTCAGAAAAGCACCCAATCTTTCTTTGAATAGATCAAAAGATAGACAGATCATTAGTTGTTTCTTCTAATGTTTCATCACTCTCTTTTTATAATTTGGAAGTGGTATGCTTTAAGTTTCTACTCTGGATCAGTATAAGATGCATACTTTGTTTCAGGATGAAGACATTTGAGTTTTAACATTATTTATATGTGTTTTCTATTATTTATAATATAAACCAGAAAACTTCCTGCTGAGATTAAAAATACCTGAGTCAGCATCTCATACAACTGGAAATACATTACCCACAATTAATATAACAGAGTAGGTAAATATAAATATGAAGCTTTTCTGAAAATAAAAATGTTTTCTGTTACAAAGACATAAGACAAATAACACTTGTGCTTACCTCTGCCTACATATATCTCTTATACAAGCAGCTTTAGCAATCAGCTTTTCCCATTGAGCATCTTTGTCAACAGACAAAGAGGGCATATCAGACATTGCCAAGAACTTCTGCAACTCTGGGTAAATTCGATCCTGGAAAAAATTTGATTTAAAAATTATCATCACACCTTTACAAGTTGGTGACAGGATTTTCAATTGATAGCACTTTTACATGACTTCTCAATACAACTTTTATTGCATACCATACTTTGCTTTTCTTCATTACTGGAATCTAATGCTGCATTGAGATCTAACTGGCTTTTGCAGACCAAATCTCTATGGCTACTTTACAAACAGAGAAGCAAATTATTGCCATGTAACTATGGTCTTGTTCTTACTGTACATTATGAAAGCAGAGAGAGCTGTCCTTCAAAGAATTTTTTGCCTAACTCTAGTCTGAGACCTAATGAAATGAAGAGCAGGTTTCATGAAGGACATACTATTGAAATTTTTCACTAAGACAGAATCAATATAGACACCACTTCCACCATTTACTTTATACTGCTGATAATGAGACACTAGTATAAGCAATCTTCCAAAATTAATGTCCTTCCTTGGTTAAAGGTAATGAAGTTTTTCAACAACACTTATCTTAGTGACACTACAAGAATTTTCTAACCTGTCTTTCCCATAAGGATGTCATCAGCCGCAAAGTAATTGCTCTAAGCTTTGGCGTGCTCCCCAGCATGTGTATGGCACGCAGAATCTGAGCTACACAAACCTGAAAGAAATGTTTTAACCAAATGTCATTGTTATTTATGTCCAAGAATAAAGACTAATCTACAAATCATTATTTGACAACTAAGTACAACAAGGAGATAACTGTCCAACTGCAGTGTCAGAAACTGGAAGACTGTCAAAGAAACTGGAAGTCAATTTCTGCAAAACATTGTGCATAATGAGTCCAAGGGCATCTTCTTATGCCATATGCGTAAGCTTATGCTGTAATGATGATACAGTAAAGACAATAAAGCATAATGTACATTTTACTCTTTAAAACAAATGTCATATCCCATTCAAATTATTAGAAAGTTATGCTGAAGCTTACAAATAAATTATTTTAAGCAAGCTATGCACTGCTCAGTCTAAATGATTTTTTATAAATAAATGACCTCTTATTGCTACAGTTTTTGTTTTACAAAAAGTTTTTCATTCTGACCTTGTGTACACCCAGTGTAGGCAACGTATACAATATATCCCTGTAAAGTGCAGGCTCCAAAGGTCTTCCCAATTTAAATATCAGAACTGGGATCAGATTTGGGACCTAAAATAAAACAAAAGCAGTAAAATAACCTTGGAACTATGTTGCCAACATAGTATCTTCATAAGACAGTGAACTTGTCAGAACATATTAGAAACTCCTACCTTTTTGCATTTCTGCTAATAGGCAAGAGGAAAATTCTGAAGTCTGTAATTTCATAGGACTTACATTTATTTCTTTTTAATTTATCATCTTAAAAACACCTTGTTGTGCGTGTTCAGCTGTAACCACAAAAATCTAATTTCCACAATAAATTCATTTTTACTTGAAATTCCGTTACAGGCACACTGAAAGGAACATGTAATTGGGAATAGCACATTAAAATACATACCAAATCAATGAAGAAACTATTCTAACTCAGTTCTGTCATTAAGAGGAATTTTGATGATGCTACTATCATACCCCACAAACCTGTCATATATACAATATAATTTACTGCATTCTTTAATATATAGTACAAAGCTTACAGAGATCTGCCCCTGAAGTGACAATGAGGGAAAGGAAACTTATTTACCTCTATTCCCCTTTTATTTAGATCAAATTTTCAGTATTTTCAAACCTACAGGTCCTTCACTTTGTTCTTGTGCACATTCATATCACTATGTCGTAAAATTAAATCTACTCATGATGACCATGCTTTTTTTCCCACCCTTGATTTTATGGAATTAAAAGTAATTACACAGCGCTGGTTTACATTCTGCCTTTATAGAGTAGTAATGAATTTTGCTTAGCCACATGGTTAGTCTTCCACAGATAAAACTTGTGTTAAAAGATAATGTCATTCCCCAAAACACTAATGCTAATCCGGATATTTGGTATTTAGCAGTAGTAAGCGGACACAATTATTTTTGAGTCTTCTGGCTTTCAGAAAATTTTTCCTGACATGGCAAACAGAGCATAGAGTTTCCATTTCACTTTTAGGGTTTACCTCTGGAGACACCTGTGGAAGAGTGTTTTTTCTCTTTAACCTCAAATTACTGTAACTTTAGAAAACTCATTCAGTAATTCCAAGATTAGAGGCTTAAAGCACGAGAACAAATGTGTATTAAAACCCACACATACTGAGCTGAGCAACTCTCAAATCCAATGTTTACAAGATTGTATCCAATCTTTAATCCAATCTATAATTCAGCAATCTTACATCTCTGAAAATTTATCCTGGTAAAGATGACCCTTTTTATCTCTCTCTCTCTATGGGTGGTTTATACACACAGTGGCTCAAAAACCATTAATGGGAAATTCTGCTACAACATTCTCTCAATATGCATTTTTACACGAGCAGATGTCTTCAGATGATATTTTTCACTGTACAAAGGTCTGTTTCAGGCCACAGAAACTACAGAGCAAGAAAAATGAATAAAAATCCAAGAGCTCTGTGATTTTGCTTAATGCCCTCTGTAATTCCTAGCTCCAAATTACAGACAAAAAAAAAGTTTGGTCTACAAGACATCATTATCTTTACAGCTGACCAATCCAAATTCATGCTTCCACAAACTTAAAAACTTTGTTCTGGAAACCATATTAAATACCTAAGGAATTAACTATAACACATTCTTTTTTTTTTTTTTCCAGTTTTCCAAATACGACTTGACATTCTTAAATAGAATAAATCCCTTTATATACCAAAATTTCCCCACATTTTTGACGAATTGACTAGTCTCCCCGCCCCCTCTATTTCCCAAGGCTGTTGTCTACCATCTGTAGAGGAAGTCACCACCCCATAACCTGCCTAGACAGAGGACTGGCTTTACTTTCAAAGCAAAATCAATCTTTCAAAGCAAAATCAATAAAAGTGGCTGAGAATTTAAGGTAATATTAATTTGAGCAGACTTTCACACCCAGGAGTACTTTCAATACAATTTTAACAGTTCCTTGCTTTCCAACCTGTTTATTCCAAATGGAAAGCATCTTCTTAGCTAGCACTCTCCCCCCCATTTCTTTCAGACCTTTGGATTCAAGATAAATTGGGCAGTTTTTCCAGCTTTTGTTGTGTACTGATTTTGGCTTGGCTAGAGTTAAGTTTCTTCATAATAGCTTGTATGGGGCTGTGTTTTGGATTTGTGAGCAAAACAGTATTGATAAGACAGGGATGTTCTAGCTATTGCTGAGCAGCGTTCACACAGCGTCAGGGCCTTCTCTGTCCTCACACTGCCCCGCCAGCAAGTTGGCTGGGGGCACACAGGAAGCTGGGAGGGGACACAGCCAGGACACCAATTGATCAGAGGGATATTCCAGACCATATGATGTCATCCTCAGCAATAAAAGTGCGTGAAGAAGGAAGAAAGACAACATTCAGTTTTAGCATTTGTCTTCCCAAGTCACCGTCATGCATGACGGATCCCTACTTTCCTGGAGATGGCTGAACACCTGCCCGCCCATGGGAAGCAGTGAGTGAATTCCTTGTTTTGCTTTGCTTGTGCACACGGCTTTTGCTTTCCCTATTAAGCTGTCTTTATTTAGCTCAACCCACGAGTCTTCTCATTTTCACCCTTCCAATTCTCTCCCCCATCCCACTGCAGGGGGAAAGTGAGCAAGCGGCTGCATGGGACTCGGCTGCCCAGCAGGGTTAAACTACAACATGTCCAAACTGATTTTTTTTAAGTTATCTTTTACATAAAAACTGAATGGCAGATGAGCAAAATAGAAATAAGGTATCAGAGATACAGATGAGGCAGGCTTTGTCACGGTAAAACTTCATCTGAAGCACAAATATTTCAAACAGAACATTCAATCCTCCAATTATACACACATAATGACTAGTTTTCTAAACAAAAGCCATGGGAGCAAGACTTCTTCCATGAGGTGAATTAAAAATTTTTATACACAGAAAATGTAAATTGCAAATGGGTTAAACATCCTGCCTTACTCAGATCACAAGACTGTTAGACTTACGCAAAAAGATGACTGGAAATCTGTATAAATGCTTTTATAGGAATCTAGGCTGCAACTGTAGGTTTCAAAAGCCAGTGTGTAATAAAATACATCACATCAATCAATTTTCATTATTTCAGAGATAATTAAGTGCAGGTTATTGGTTTATCTAACTCTGCATATCGTACAGCACAGATCAGCATACAAGGTGGTGGTGGGAATAGCTCATCTGAATATGGAAAGCTCTAAGTGATAAATTTAGCTTTCCATCTCAATCATTCCGCTGCCTTTTTTTTCCCCCCCAGGGTTTTTCGATTTTACTTCTTCACTCTCAAAAGCTGAGTCTACAATAAACACTACTATTACCTTAAAGCTAAGGGTGAAACACATGGACCATAAAAGTCACCCACCAAGATTTGGTTTCTCCAGAACTTTGCCCCAGTGTGAACATTCCCAACCAGCATACTTAACCAATACTCTCCCAGGCCAACTTAACAACCTGATCTCAGCTGACCAAAGTAGCCCAGACAGTGGTAGGCAGAGCTAATTTTGATGTATTTCTAAATTACCATAAGTGTATAAAGTGACACCAGCTTTGGAACAATTCAAGGTAAGTTATGAGATGGATACTACTCCTCCTGTTTAAGTGGCCATAACCTTGACTTTCACTAGAACAGTAGCGGTTCTTTGCAAGTTGCTCTGAAATTATCAATCTGTTTTTCTCTCATAAAAAACTTAACTCATCCAGAATAAATAGTCCTGTAGAAGAAAGTCTAAAATATAACGAGAATTAAAATACTTCCGAGAGAAACCTCACGGTTCTTACATTCTCTCAGATTTTCTCTTGTATGACAACAAATAAGAACCTTTTAAACCCCAAACTCCTTTCAGACCTATCATGTGGGTCTACGTGACGGAATTCAAAGGAGTGAGTCCACATAGCACCCACCTCACTGCATCACCTTGGAACATGGTTTTAATGTAACCTGGGGAAGGGCGCTACTCAGTAATTCTCTAAACTACCTTTTCTCCTCCGTTCAAAATAAGTTTGGGTTGGTTTTTTTTCTTCTTCTTTCTCCTCCTCCCCACCTGGCTTTATCCTCATCACAGCTCAACTGCTATTTCAGACATGCACAGCAATTGGGATCTTTCTATCCCATCCCACTCTCTGGGGACTTCCCTGAATTTATCCCATCATGTGCCTTAATCAGCACATTCCTCCTAGCTAAGTGTCTTTGAAATGCTTGGTCACACTTTCAAGACCATCATCACAACATTTTATAAATCCTGCATCATAAGGATTATTCCTTATTAACATTACATCCTTTAAAGTACAAAAGCAGGTGGGGGAAGCAAGCCATTCCAAACTCACCAGCACATGATAGAAATTGATTAACATCAATTTCGGTCCCAGTAAAAATTCAGTAATGAGATGTCTGCATTAACATTGAAAAACAGAAAAATTAAACCTTCACTCAAAACATGAGTTTTCATTTGCTGCCCTACCTTTCCTTCACACTCCCCAGCTGTAATGATTTTTTTAGACAAACCTATGCGCAATACAGTTGTATTCCCCACTTTACCCATGCCAAAGGGACAACAGCACTGCCCAAGAGAAAACTGTGTTCATTAGTACACCAGAAGAAAACAAAAATTAACTTCCTGATTAAGTTAAATAAAACCCAAAAAGACGACTTGAGTACCAAAGATTCAACATCCTCAAAGCAAGAACGTATTTTGGTTAAATAAAGCCTTAGGGAAAGGGAAGCTTGCACAGAAACAAAGTACTATAGGGGAAAAAAAAAGTCCCCTTGAAGTTAGGACACTTGATAGATGGAAGCAGTTTTATTTCTGGACACCTGTTGTACCTTGAGTGTTAAGAAAAGAAAAGTCACCTGATTTGCTGTTACCTAAATCTTTGAATGATACGAGGTAAATCACAGGGCAATGAAGAAGCAATGGACATTCCATACCTTGGGGTAGGGGGGAAATCAATAACACTAACACAGCAACGTGCATCACCATTTTAAGTCCCAAAGTTATCAGGAAGGTTACATGTGCTCCTCCATTGAGATACGCAAGTTTTCCATGCAACTGTTAATGTGTGAACAGGGAAGAAATGTCTTCTAATA